GGTGATGGCGGCCGCTGCCGCTTCGCCGTCCCAGAGGAAGACAGGAAACTCTCACTCACGGGCTTCTTCAGTGTGCGACGCAGCGGGACCTGAGCAAAACCATTCATCATTGCAGCTGAACTGACCAGGTTTGTATCATTTCAGGTAGGAATAATACTATACATCCATTATTGCTACCATATATAATGCATTCATCAATAATAATAATTTTGATGCACCGCAAAATCGTCCACGCACCAAGGATACCCTCGCATACTATTTCCCAAATACCTTCAGAATTAAAAAAAAAAGTTGGATATGCATCTTTTAGTATCTTTAATGAACCTAATAAAATTGATGAGGTGTCTGTCATGCCTTAAGTGTTGCATCCAGAGGTGGTCAGCGAATATTGACAGTTCGCGTAAGTGGTTTATTTATACTGTATACAAATTAAAAAGCCCTGAAACGAACGGACCGGTATACCGAGTAAATTGATAAATCTCTTCAAGAAAGACATACTGCAATTTGCAGGTCGGAGAATATGGCTGAAGATTAAATCGTCAACATGAATTCACCAGCAAAGATATTTCCATTACAATTGCGCTTCGCTTTTAATTTTGGGTCACGTGAAGATCCTCCTGCTTCTGGGGATTCATAATACTGTATAAGTTAATCAGGGAAATGTATGTATCAAGGTAATCGACGCAGGTGCGAAGAGGCAGCTTGCTATTATGCATCAAATGATGTAGGCAATTGAGCGATCATCGTTAACCGTCGATGACAAATTTTTGCGACTAAGTATTTCCAGTCTCACGTTTTTCTCAAGTGCATTCGGCAGAAGCTCTAAACGTCCGTTCTAGGCTGAGTGGATGTCCTGTCAAATCATCAGCGAAAGTATTTCATCTTTGTCGCAGCAACTTTTCCAAAATAAATCGTGACTTCGTACATTAGTCTGCGATCAATTAAAGGGCGATCGGAATTTTAATCCGATAATCCGTAATTTTCATCACACGAAGCCATGTCCCGAATCTTGTGGGGATTTTGCTCTAGAGGAACTTCTCAACTTGATGTGAGTCTACAATCCATATCTTTCGCGAGAATATTCTTATCCTGCATCACAGATTCATCATGTACAGTATTTTCCGCGCAGGATGAATATTCGCGATGAATTTC